CCTTTGTGTCTAAGAAAGAGTAATGACAATAGGCAGATAAAGGGAAGTCACCACATTAAACAGCATTAAGCCACTCAGTACCAGACGCATTACTGAGAGAGAAAGAGGGATGAAGAAAGGGATGAGAGCGGAGGGGAAAATGACAGTGCAGCCCAGAGAAAAGAGCGGGGCAGTGATAAATCGGAGGACTAATCCGGGCTACTACAGAGGGATTAAATTGTTCTCTCGCTGCACGTTCGCCTGCTCCGTCGGACCGCAGAGGTTAAGCGGACCATTCTCTCCCTGTCCTGGTTTTCTTCTTTTGTCTCATCCCCTCATCCACCTTCTGCCCTTTTTCTCATCCCCCTGATGACATTAGAGAGGTGGAAGTCTTTAATCGGAGGAGCAATGTAGTGAAGAAAGCCTCTGCAGTGCACCACGCGCACGCACGTGCGCACGCGCAGACACACACACACACGCACTGACATATGAGTGTTGAGCAGATGGAGTGTCGAGCTAATAGATGTCAGTTTTTCTGATAATCTGATGGAGGGAAGATAAGAGACTAAGAGATTGATTTCCCTTGTGGTGGGTGTGTATAAGTGTGTGTGTGTGTGTGTGTGTGTGTGTGTGTGTGTGTGTGTGTGCGCGCATGTGATACATGGTGTGTGGTGAATGTGTATGTGAGTGTGTTTGAGGATAAACAATTAACATTATGCATCCAGGAAAAAAAAGAAATTCTAACAATTTTCAAAATGATTTTCTTCTACAGCAGGTGCTTTAATTTTTGGTTTATATTCCAAGCATTACAACTGGGATCACATCACTGCGTGTAGACTACTGTCTGTGTCAGACGGTGGGCTAGTGCAGTATGTTTTACATAGCATGTGTTAATCCTGTATTTAAAGGGTAATTCTGGTTTGCTAGTTAACTATAGTAAATAAATAGCAAAGTTGTTAACTATGTAATTTTTCCTAGTTTCCTTCATGTGCTTCTGAAGCAGCTCTGTCCTCTAGCGCGTCCCCCCAAGACCCTGTCTGTCGCTCCTGGACCCTGTCCTTCCTCAAACCACTGCTGCTAGATACTCACCAGTTTGCAGATATTCTAACTCAGGTATCTGGTCACAGTGATTTGGTCCTTGACCAAGTCGCTCAGGTCTTTACACCTGCTCATCCGACACGTTCATCATAAGAGCCGACTGTTCACCTCCCATCTAATACATCCCAGACCTTGACATGCGCCTTCGTTAGGAGATGATCGCCATGACTCTCTTCATCTGTAAGCGCTCGTGTTTTGGCTCATCTGTGTTTATTGTGCTTCCACTGAAATAATCTGGACATCCTTAAAAAAAAAGAAAAAAAAAAAGACAGCCATCAGAATTTACGAAGCTAAACTATTAAAACAGCTTTGACCTGCTGCACCTGCTGTAGTCGTGCACATTCAATTTACCCGTGGGACGAGTGATTATTAGTCATGATTCAGGATTATCTTCAAATAAAGTGGTTTTAATAATCTGGATGAATTGTTTCTTGACAACAACAACCTGACCAACAAACAATTAGCAAAAGTAATTAGTTTGGTGAAAACAGTGTATCATCATCATAATCGGAACTGTCTAAATGATGGAAAATATCATAAGAAGGTTCAAGTTATAATAACCTAGAAATAAGTGGAAAGAAATGGAAACAAAAAAACCCACCCCTCCTCATCACACACACAGTGCAAACACACAAAAGAAACTTGTCTCAACATTATATAGAACAGGGACAAATGTGTGTGCAGAGCCGAGTCTCTAGTCCGTGCACAATCCACACACTGCATCTCACAGAGAAGTTGTCACATACTGGAACCTTCACGTCTTGCACACGTTCTCTTGAAGCTGCAGCTGAGAAGGAATTTTTGCCACAACTTTCCCCATTTGTAAAGGTGTAATGACAGGCGTGGGTGTTTACCTCGGCACATGCACATGCGGCATATCCCTGACAGGTTCAAGCACACACCGGAATACTCCTCTTTCTCTTTCTGTATATTCTCCGTACACCCCCCCCCCCCCCCCCCCCCCCCCCCCCCCCCCCCCCCCCGGCATCCGCCCGCTCCGCGCGCCCCTTCTTCCCCTCGCTGCAGTGGTAATTGGGTATGACACGGGATCAACAGGGAGAGAGCAAGGACGCATTTGAATGCGCCGGATGTCGTCTCCCTCACTTTTCTTTTCTAACCTGCTGCCTTCCAGCTCCTAGTCCTTGCTCACCGCTGTTACCGTAGCAACATCTGCGTGACCGCATCTTCCACCCTCCCTCCTCCTACCCGGTGTCATTTCTTTTATTAAGATTGGCCGCTAGTGCCCAAGTGTGTGTGTGTGTGTGTGTGTGTGTGTGTGTGTGTGTGTGTGTGTGTGTGTGTGTATTTGTGTGTAACTGCTCAACAGTGAGGTGCATAGCAGCAGAGCTTTGTCAGCCTAACTCCATGCTCAAAGCCAATTACCAGAGCCTCACTACCGAATATAAAGCGTACAGCTCAGAGGAATCCCCCCCCCCCCCGAACAGGCAAAATGTAGCCACTTGAATCAAACCTGTTACATTAAGTCAATCAAATACATTATTGCACACCTGGGTACACCTGAGTGTAGCTGTGAGGGGATATCTCCAGCTGAAAAAGTCACACTGCTGCCACCAAATACTCCACACAGCTTTGAAAAAGAGACAAATAAATTCCTTCCTTCCTCATATTCCGTCTTCCCTGGTCAAAAAGTGTTAAAAATGGGGTGAATGACAACATGCTGAAACAATCATTTTCTTACCTAAAATCTTCTTTTTTCATTAAACTCCAGTTCAGGCCCTGAGGGCAGTCTTCTTCTCCGTCCCCCTAATTATTGCCATTTTATTTTCTGCTGGCTAAAAGACAGAGGTCGGGGACTTGCAGTTGTTTCTAAGAATTGTTCTTTGTTTGAATATTAATTTTGCAGGAACAATAGTGGAATATTGAGCTGAGCTTCTACATGTCCATGTAAACTTAGCTACGCATAGCTGTACATGCACGTGTACATGTAGGGTTGCAAGCCTTTTATGTGATTCAAAAGATTTTTTGAGAATTTAAAATGCCAATGCAGATTCTTTTAGATACTTAAAACCCAAAATTACAGAATTATCAAGGGTAACAAAAAATGTAGCCTAATGCTATGCTGATTTACAATTAGTATTAGAGAAGAAAGGCAGGGAGAGAGGATGACATGTCTTCCACAGAGCTTGTCAGAGCTCGTCAGTCTACTGCTAATTGATAAACTTCTCCAATCCACTTGTAGGCTACAACTACCGTATATATAAATACTGCTACTGTATTGATTCAATACAGGACGCAGCATTTTATTTTCAAATACGGGACGATCCCGTATTATACAGGAAGGGTGGCAACCCTACATGTAAACTTGGCTAAAAGGTGAGTGGGCATATACACATACTGTAAATACCCTGTATGTCACACTGGCATAAAAAAATTGATGCATTTGATTACTTTTATGATAAGGTGTATTCTTTCCTCGCGGATGAATATTCTGTTTGTAATCACAATGTAATATTACAATAGTTCAGGTGCCGGTTGATTTGGCAACAACTGGGGTCACTGGTAATAACGGCAAGTGTGTTTTAACACTACAGGTCCCAGAATTCAGTAGCCAGCAAGCACTCCCTGAGCAGCTATACTCTGTCAGCAATATGACAGAAGAGCAACTGGTGTATGTGTTTACAGTGCATCCAAACAAACATCCTGGCCTCCCATCATGCCAGGAGTGAGATGTGATTTCACATTACAAGTGGCTCCAGGCGTTTTCCAAGGTATATGTTAAAAAGAGGAAGTTACCTCGCTGAGACGTAGGCGTGCAGTCTGTCACCAGCTCTTCATTGAACACTTTTCTATGGTTGCTCTCTTGATTCATTACTCGTGTTGTTTTGTAGAGGCCTATATCAATGATCACAGTCAGTGCCAACCGTGGACACAAATGCTCCGCATTTCCTGTGACTTCTTGACAATAAATGCAACCCTGTGTTTCACCGGTGTGAAGCAGCAACGGCGGAAAAGGCTCAGTTTGCATTAGCAGTATCGTAACGATGCTCCGGGTAAACAAGGCCGATATCAACAAGATAAAATTACAAAGTGATCGTGGATTACGTACTGCATCAATTCTTCTTTAACACTCTACAGTGCTGACAATAAAAACTGCTGTATAACATCTCATACAGACATACTGGTACATTTTTGTGCCCCTCCTTTAATTAGAATGAATAAGGTGCCATCTTGGGACTGGGTGTCCAGCTGTTTTCATACAGTGCTTTGATGGGTGGGATGAGCACACTGTAACTTTTTGTCATCAAGAAAAAACATTGACTGGAGACATACAGAATTATTCCACACATTTTATTCATGAACAAATTCACAAGCTCTCATTTACTTCCATCAATTTCCTTGTTAATGATCAATATTTCTTCAATGTCTGAATAACAGCATTTTCTCTGTTCAAATTTCCGTCAGTATCATCATCCTTGTTTCTCCAGTGCACTTCTACTTCTATCTTGCATGCAGAAATCCAGAAAATTTGAGAAAGAATCTCAAAATATTGCTTTTTTCTCACTTGGCTGAGGTGGAAAAGTCGGCGAAGCGCAACAAACGGCAATGGGAACAAATTTAGCAAATGAAATGAATGGTGACATAGACGAAGCGAGTGACCGAAGAGTCGGAAAAATAGCGGCAGCTGAAATAATCAGATCTGTTTGGACAGTCCCCAAATCAATACATGAAACAAACATGAAAATGCCATATTTCCATCATGTTCTCTACATTGTTTTACAGCATTTGACTGGAGCTCTTAATCACGTCATCTCATTGTGTCCTTTTCTTCTGCAATGGTTTAACATCACAGACTGGAGGATTAGTACCACCAGCTGCTGGCATATCAGTAGTAGATGGTAGTTCTGTTCAATTTTGCGCCGCATTTTGATGGATACCCGGCTATTGACGATCTATGACACTAGATGCTTTTTGTGTCCTCCTGATGGATTTTTCTTTTTTTTTTTGTTCAACAGAATCCTGAATAAACCACATTGTATTTTTCTTTGGGGTCTCCGTCATCAGCGACTTCCCCTTTGTCAGGCTGTTTCAGATTCCTCACAGCTCCAAAACTCACTCATCTCAAACTTACAGTTCATTTATTGAAAAGTGGTTTTCATTGCCACTATTTCATGGTAAAATTGAGATTTCAAATGTTGAGTCTGAGGTCCATAATTAGGGAACGGCACATTGCAGTCAGTGCCATAACCATTCGAAGATTTAAACAGTGCAGTGCGGCTGGTGTCAGGCTCTAACTAACCACCAAACAAACCAAGGTTTCTTCTTATGTCATTGTTGCTCTGTGAAGCACTGTCATTCCAGTTCCTTTCATTTCATTGAAAGGTGTTCTTAAAGGACATAAAGGCGGTTTGACTTCTGCTGAGGAATCAATTAATCACTTAGCTGAAATGAAATACACAGGGCATTAATGCATTAACTAGTTGAGTAGTAGATGAGTAGAGAAACTAAAGACACAGATGAGACCCGATATGAATGGTTTAATAAAATCATATGATACATCACAGGTCTAATGAATTTAAAAGTCATGGCCAGGATTACCTGAGCTTATTCCTGTGTTGTTTAAAAAAAAATACAAAACCATAAAACTTAAAAGCAGTACAATCCTCTTTCAGTTAAAGATCAAAACAAGGACGGTCCCTTTGCACCTGATTCAGCTCCAACCTGGAATGCTTTTCTTCCTTTTCATTCCATACAAAAGCAGCAGAGGTTTGGACGTAAACTGAATTTCATTCAGCTGATGGTAGGAGTGACCCTGACTTCATCTTTACAGCTTAAATCTTAGAAATACTTTCTGATGATCTTTTAAATTACTAAATTGAAAGTGTACTGACTCAGACCATGAACCTAACACACACACTCTTTCAAAAAAAGCTTTCCCGTAGAATGAAGCAGTGCAGTGCAGCAACAACTTTAACCGATGATACTGCGGATAAATAGCGTAATAGGAAATTTTTAAAAACAAGGCATGCTAACAGCAAATCAACTCTCTCATAATTCAAAACGGGAGTGGCGACAAGTGCCACTCTTAGTGCCAAAGTAAAAGCCTTCTCAAGTAAATGTTTTACCCTTTTCCTCCCACTCTTCATCCGTGGTTGATCATCAGGTTCTAAGAGAAAAAGAGACAAAAGAAGCGATTATTAGTCCATTTGCACTCCTGTCAAACCTTCTGACCTTTGAGATGCTCTTACGTGCAGGGACCGTCCATGTTTTACACAAACCTTCCCAGGTTTGACTGACCACAATTGAAATGTCAGACCTGGTAATAGTATGGATTATCACAGTAATGGAGAGATGTGAACTCGTTGACCGATGTTACTCAGCTCTACATCACTACTCAAGAGGCTTTTTCATACTGCAATATGTTGCAACAACACCAGGCCGACAACAAGAGGAGAAGTTCTCACCACTTGTGTCTGTTGTCTCGTGTTGTTGATGCGGTTTGTGTTTGGCATTTGTTGTTAGAATTTTACAGGTCCGTTCCCCTTGACCTACAAAACAATCTCAGTCAGTTTTTCAGCTTTCACCCTTCAATGCACACGAAGTTTGGCCATGGACTTTTTATTTTTATTTTTAATCCATTAGCTATTTGTGCTACTTTACAAGAAAAATCCCTTTTACAATAAAGTTCTGATTCGATGAGTTTAATCTCCTTCCGTAATATTTGGTCTACCCATTGTATCTTTGGTATTTTTAAGAGCAGGAACGTTGAGAACGGGGTGTAATCAGGGCGGAATATATGAAGAGAGGGTGTGTTTTTGGCCGACATCAAACACAATCACTCACAGGGCTCTTCTCATGTCCATTATTGTCGGTGCGCGTGCAGCAAATGCAGCAACTCTCCAGAAGGTGCAAAAGTAAAATTTTGCCCCTATATGTCTCAATAGTAGATGATGTAAATTGACTGCACTTATATTTGCGCTTTGACTGGTCGATAAGACATTTTATAATACAAGCCACATTCACTCATTCACACACACATTCTGGTGTGTGCTGGGACAAAATCACAGTATTTTCTAAATTGTTGTAGGCCTACCTGTGGCCATTATCTACTGTAATGTCTTTATTTATTGGCTGATGTATGTGATAAGCTAATATGAGACAATAATATTGGGTTGGTTGATTTTTCAGCTGGGTTCTACTTCGCTGAACAATAAAACCTTTTCCATCATTGAACTCTCTCTACAGAGTAGAAACATTTCAAATTCTTTGCTTGTCCACATTCAAAACCTTTTTTAAGTGCAAAAGGAACCTTGTCTGGAGGTTATAACTGATGGCTCTAACTCAAACTCTTTCCACTCAACTCTTATTTTCAGAACCCTTTAATGAAAGCCTTTTTAAGGGTTCGGGTGAAGAGCCTCCTGTCTATCTTTTCATCTGGGCGACAGATTCGCGGAGACTGGCCTTGAATGTGATACTCAGAACACCTCAGACTCAGTGACCTCTATGAAAGCTGTAGTCTATCAGGCCTATTTGAAAACAGATACATGCCGGTGATCAAAGGACCGCAACCTCGAACCTTCAACCATAGATCAATGAAATCCTTAAAACCCAAGAAACACACCGTCCCTGACCGCACGTCTGATGCCGCGACTCCGAGCTGCGACGCACGACCAAGAGGGCTTCGCTCAGATTGTGTTCTCTCCCGTGAAATGGCTATGATCAATTAACACCTTGAAATCCCGCCAAGATGATCAAGAGAGAGACAACCCATAAAGTCAAAGTGATAAATAGCCAACATGAATAGAGCTTTTCCACCATTGAGACCAATTCCTATTTCAATAAAGCACCTTGTTAGTGAGATATTGAGTTTCAGAGCATGAAGAGGACGCTCATGGGCGTTTAATGGTTGGTGATTGGCTTTCTATGTGAAAGTCAATATACTCTTTGAAGCCTTATTAGTTATTACTCATGCTTTCCAAGGGAGACAATATCTAACAAGTCAGCTCGTAGCCATGAATGTATAACCCTGATTACAAGAGGGAGGCTTGAACCTGAATACTTCATCTCCCACACAGAATCCCAATAAACACAGAGCCAGACATACTAAGGCTTTTTTGCTTGATTTTTTAGATGCAGATGTGACACATTCAACTCTAGACAAATGCTCACAATAACAGTGCTAACATGCTGATGGCTAGCAGGTAATATTTACGTTGCCCCACTATCTTAGTTTAGCATGTTAGCAAACACACTATTGCTACTTAGAAGTAAACCCAAAGTACAGCTGAGGATGATGGGAATGTCATTTTGCGGGTATAAAGTATGGGACAAAATTAAATTTGACCAAATGGTCAAATTAATCCTTTTGGGGCGTGATATTTTCAGTAAAAACACAAATGTCAATCTCATGCTGGCTAGAGAAAAAGTTCGAGGATCAGGAAGTAGCCCATTCGGGCTCATCCTGTTCGTATGTACACAATTTCATGGCAACAGTTGTGGAGATATTCTAATCTGGACCAAACTGCCTGACCAATCATTACCCTGTGTAGCTAAAGATATATGAATTAAAACATTTTTTACCCTATACCTAACTAGGAAAAGATTCCTAAAAATAGAAAATAGAGCAATAAGTATCAAAGAGCACAACACCAGATTATTTTGTATCGGAAAACAAGTAGGAGGAGTTGTGTGGTTTGTGTTTAGAAAGTTGAACTTGACATCCAGCAAACAGGCTGAAACCTGCACTGTTCTTTCTTCTGATAAGAAATGAACAGTGACTCCATATACCTCACTTTTCTAGTACGATATCAGCTGCATCAAACCATCTCTGCCTGCTGCAGTCTGAGCTGCTGGACCTGCTGCTGCCTGCTAATCACTCTCTCTCTCTCTTCACAAGTTGTGGTGTACGTGGTCTCCGGCCGTGCCAGTCCGTTTCTATTTCATTTCCCACAAAGTTAGTCGGACTCATATTACATTATTATACATTAGACCCTTGGATAGTGATATTATTATTTTATTGGCAGTAGTTTTTATTAAGTGAAGTTGAACTATGGCCAAAGTAAAGTATCATTTCTTTTTGAGCTTGGTGATGTCAGACAAATCCCCCACTCAACCTAAAGCTCCAGCAGATGAGCTCTAGGGGTCCAGACTGGAATATCAAAACAAATATTGGATGGATTGCCATTCATTTTTTTTGTGACAACATTCATGGTTCCCAGAGGATAAAATCTCATGATTTTGCTGATCTTAACCTCTTGCGTCTTCATGTATGACATATTTGGTTTTGAATCACTTGTCTCAATAACTATTGGAAATTGCAATTTTTTTAAATTAAAATGTTGAACTTTGGTTTATGATCGAATACCTGCCAAACTGATGCCATTCCCAACAGCCTTAGTTGTACTTCCTGTTTAATTCTAATCAGCAAATGTCAGCATGCTAACATGCTAACAGAGTAGGGTAAAGAAGGTAAACATACCCACCTAGGCATTGCAGTATATATATGTATATACTGTGTATATATACAGTATATATGTATATATATATGTGTGTGTGTGTGTGTGTGTGTGTGTGTGTGTGTGTGTGTGTATAAAAAATCAACACCCTTGTTGATGTGCTTTGGTTTCCCAGTAAGAAATCAATCAGGCTCAGTCCTGCTTGGCTTCAGAGGCTGGGCAGCAGCAGGAAGGAGGGTTGTTTCAGAGTGACCACTGGTCCCACTGCACCTCCAGTATAACTCCTGTTGCCCACGTGGAACGATGCATTGAGCTGAACTGACTGAAGGCCAGGGGTGCATTGACCCGTAGCCTGCTGGTAAAGAGACATAGACAGTGGGTATGTATGTACTATATGTGCATGCATGCATGTGTGTGTGTGTGTGTGTGTGCACTGTGGAGTTAATACCAGCTGTGAAACTCAAACCATTAAAACAAGAGAGAGACTCACAGAGCAGAGTGATCAATACAGCTCCCTTCTCCTGTCCTCTCATCTCATCCCTATGGTGCCCTCTCCTCAATTCACGTTCTCCTGTCTCCTTCTCCTATTTGCTCTTTTCTTCTCCTCTCATCCACTCATCAATCATACACTTTTTTCTTAATTTTTTCTCCCGGCACTCCTCCCTCCAACTACTTTCCTTTCTGCTCTAACTCCACATTTCACTGGATCCAGGTGGTAGATGTTTATATTTAGTACAATAACTTCAATGCAAACCTGAGAATGCATATTTTCTCTCCTTGAACGTTTCTGTCATTTACTGCTCACTTGAAAGAGAAATAAAGCAACAACTCAAAAAAAAAAATCGCTCAAAGGAATGTGTGTATGTTCAGGATTGCCCCCCCACCCCCCCCCACCCACATATGCTGCACAAACAGAAACACTGAAGGACAGGCGGTGGTGATCTTTGACCTGTACAATCACAGTTTGTCAGGTCAAAAACACCATCTCTGAAAAGTAGCTGTCTCAGCACGTCTCACTGAGTCACTGGCGTCTTACGTGGTGCCTTCAACTTTCAAGAACACTTAAAAAGGATTTTGATGCAACCTGCAATAACAGTTTAAAAAGTATATGAATATTTCCTGAGAAATACATTTATTAAAAAAAATTAGATCTGTAATAAAAAAAAGAAAAAGTAAACTTCCTGTTTCTAAAATACAGAAATAAGAAATGCACTTAAAAAAAATCCTTTCTAAAACTACTTTAAAGATCTTTGAAACCTTAAAATAAAAAAACAGACATACTCTATGCATTTACTTTAGACTGTTCTTATGTTTATATCTTATTCTTCTGAATATCATTATCAGTATTTCAAGGTTTCCAAGGTCAAGAATCATCTTTGAACCTCAGCTTTTAAGCCAACATTCACAAGAAGTCCTTACAGTGCTCTGCTAAAAGGGACATTTGAACATTTACTATTTCCCATTTCAACTGAGCAAACTTCACCTACTAATGAAAATCTGACTGAAACTCCAGAACAGAAACTAAGTGGACCTTGTGATTAGATCGTTTTCTCAAATCTTTGACATGGTTACCTCTGTTGAAGGACCAATGTGTAAGATTTAGGGGGATCTAATGGCAGAGATGGTTATAATATTCATAATTATGTTTATATTAGTATACAATCACATTGCTTAGAATGAGCTACATGAGCTTCATTAGCTAGAATCTTAC